GGGAAAGAAGGGAGCAGGACTTATAAACCCATCTTGGGGCCTGGGCCACTTCTGTGTGGACCCTACACTCCACAGGCTGATTGCTCACTATTCCAGATTCAGCAGGGAGACATTCTAACCACATAACAAAATGTTCCTAGACAGAGTTCTCCTACACGGTTTGAAAAGGGTAAGCGGACACCAAAGCCTCCTCCTGCCCAGGTAGTTAGAAGTATACAGGTCCTGGCATTGCAAACATCTTGCTGTGCACAGGCAATTGCTCCCAAGGAAGGATGCCAACAGCACCCAAATGTCCACTAGCCCTACTGGGGAACTCTGTAAGAGGAGAGGTTTATGGCTCCTAATTCCTTTCTTAGCAAAAACTGAGAAAGGCAAGAGCCAGTCCTGGTCGCGATTCCTATCACTCCTTTCTTAGCAAAAACTGAGAAAGGCAAGAAGAGCCTGACCTGGTCGCGATTCCTATCATTAAGCCAAGGTTTGCCGGCTGAGCTGACCCTCTCTCTCTCTTGGGCCTGTGTGATTTTTCTCTCTCAGTTGTCCAAACTCATCCTCATAGGATCCTATCTTAGACTCTAAGCATGGAATAGCCCTGAGCATCCTCTGTACATATCATGGAGGGTCTGGGAGGGCCCGGTGCATGGAAAAGAAGGTGGTCCTCGCGTTAAAGATTCCAGGGGTAGAGCATCATGGATGGGCTTTTGGGGGGCTCATACCAGTTCTGCTGCTCCCACTGCCACCCTCCTGTCCCAGGGTCCTTGGGTTTGACCACAAAGGGAGCTCTGTTCCTTTTGCTAACTACCCGGCACAGCAAAGACAGGGCACCACTCCATGGGGGTTCTAACTGTCGTGGGGTTCGAGGAAAACACTAAGTCCCGTGTATGCATTTAATTGAACAGATATTTATTAAGCACCTACTTTGTGCCAGGCACTGTGCCCGGTTCCCTCCCTGCGTGCTATCTTAAGCACCTACTTTGTGCCAGGCACTGTGCCCAGTTCCCTCCCTGAGGGCTATCCCCATAGCACAATCATCTGCTCAGAAATAAAACCAAGAAAAGGAACATTGTCGCAACCGTACAAACTGGGGGGTGGGGAGGGTGGACAGTGGATACAGGTGACTCCCATGCCACGAAATGCACCCTCCAGAAACTTGCTCTTCCTCTGGATAAGTCTCTACAAAACAGTTGTTTTAAAGTATCTCAGTGTTTACTGAGAGAAAAGTTGTTCCCTCCATGGCCCCATGGACTGGGGCCTGGTGGACTTCCGAAAACTCTGAACATTTTTCAAAACAGGGATATTGATATTTGGACTAGAAAATACTTTTTTTCAGTTCATATGGTTGCAACAGCCCTTAAGAAAGATATAAACATCCCTGCCCTGACTACGTAAACATTTAAGGTAGACCTAGTTCTGGATTCCTGAGTCAGAATCTCCCAGTTGTCCATAACCTCACAAGGCCAGAGAAGCGAGAGGAGATTTCTATTCTGGAGAGGAGTGAGTGGACGGCACAATTGGTTTGGAAACACGACAAATTGCACCTGCATTTACAGAAGCAACTCAAACAGGAGAACATTCTAGTCCTAATTCAGCTCACGCACATACTTGGGACTCACAAGCAGGCCAGGCTCAGCCGAGCTCTAGTTGTCTGCGCCCAGCTTGGAGAGGCCTCGGCGGAAGTCATGGAGGTCATCGATCTTTCCATCCAGCACTTCTAGGAAGCTCTTCAATTCCACCTTTAGGTGGCGCTGTCGGTATTTACTCTCCTCAATGTCCGTCTTTAGAGATTGCACTTTGTCTTCAAGGTTTTGATTGTCTCTCTCAGCCGCCTGACAAAACAAAGGGGAGAAGGATCTGGAAAACAGAGTAAGGGGAGCCATTTGCTAAAACCCACTAGAGCCAAATCAGTCATGCTATATCAGACCTGGGCTAGCCTACCATCCTCAGAAACATACAAGCCTGTGGACATGATGCTGGGAAGGAAACAGCCAACAGAGTTTCGGTGAGCCTTTCTGTTCTCTGGCACAGGCCAAGTGTGCACCCAACACCTGGACTGAAAACTCAGAACGCAGAGCCCCGTCTAAGGGAGCTTGCATAAGAGCTGGGCAGAGAAGGCCTGAAATCCATGTCCAGAGATTTTCAGTGTCAGCCCTGAAGGGGTCAGCAAAGGCCACCTCTCAGTCTCACTCTGAGAAAGCGAGAAACGGAATGAATGGGAGTAGTTTGTTTCCCCTGGTTCCACTGACAGACCAAGGCATCCTCTACCACTGGCCAGGCCACTGCCTCAGGGACAGCCAGTCTGTGCACACTCTGATGGCATCACCACAGAGACACACATGACAATCAAGGCACTTGTAAGCAAATCAGACACAGGCTTCAAAGATGGTATGGCTGTGAGTTCATAAATGAGCTCTATGCCTTATGCTCTTCATATCAAATAAGCACTTTGCTTTCTGGGTATAAACTGAGATCCTTTTGAACATGCCCATAGGAACCAGCTCCTTGGGTTGTATAACCAAAACAATGCTCCTTGTGTTGATGTATGTCAAAGCGCTCGAAAGTGAGGAGGCCTCCAAGGTACCTGAAAGCCCTCATTTTAGGGGTCAGAAATCTGAGGCTAGAAAGGAAGGTCTGTCAAGGTCAGTGCCCAAGGTCACTCACCTTGGGGCTGGCGAGTTGCCAAAGTGGACTCCCACCTGACCCTATGTGTTCGGCCTACCCTTTTGCCCCTCATGCCTCCTTATCTCTGTGGTCCTGACTTCTGGGGGCAGGAAATAGTCGCCTATGACATGATTATATACAGGACACCTTCATGTAAGTGGAAACAACAAAAGACAAACGTGGCTGAGTCTGCCCTGGGGGTAGGGACAGCAGGCAGTGGCATCTGGCATGCCATCCCTGCTGGCTTCTCATGAATAGAGCATCGCTCTTCTTCACCATCCTAGGTGTGAAAGAAGAGGGAGTGGAGAAGAGAGGAATGTGATGGTTGCCTTCTCATCTGAGTCCGGGGGGATGTGGCCATGCCCTTACCTCCAACTTCTCAGAGACATATTCACACTCTGACATGAGTTGAGGTATGATTTCACTTTGTTTTCGGAGATCTTTCAGTTCCTACAGGAGACAGCAATTTGAAAAAGAACGTGAAATCAAGTCAGAAAATGTATTCTTGAAAATCACAGTCTTGTGCATACTCTGATGGGAGCAATTTTTGGAGCCTGCCCCGTTTGCCCAAATAATGGGGACAATGCTAATACTTAAGCATCAGGTGATTCCTGAGGTGTAGGAAGTGCGTTACATCCACTACTGCATGGAGCCTGTCCACCACCATCAAAGCGGTGGTAATCTTATGATTCCTGTTTTATAGTGGGAAGCTGAGCCCTAGAGAATCCTAGTAACTTGTCCAAGGTCTCTAACATTTAAGTCCTCACCTGTCTGCTCCTCAGAAAATGAATGACCACATGATTGGTGGTTCAGGCTGCATTAAGTTGAGAGCAGGACTCAGCTTCTGACGACCTGATCTGCACAAGTGTCAGTGTTGTGTAAAACGTCCAACTCCCCCGGGGTGTGAGTGACTGATGACTATACCATGCATATTATGAAGAGGCTGCAGACGGTCGTGGTGGGGCCTTTGCTCTGGAGCATCTGCACTTTGGTGTGGCTCCTGGCTCTCTCTGTGTGCTGGTATCTAGGTGGCTGCCAGGGTCAGTCCTTGGCCCAAGTCACCTGCTGTGTCCTTGAGTGGAGATCATCTCACAAGGCCCAAAGGACCCCAAGGGGCCCTGTTCAGAGTACTCTTACTCACCGTCTCCTTTTCTCGGAGTTCTGACTCCAGTTCCTCAATTCTCCTCTTCAGCTGGGTGTTTTTCTCCTTCTCTCTGTTGATCTCACTGCATTGTTCTTCTAGCTCATCAATCTTCAATAAACATCACAAAAGCAGGGGTGCTTGTTCACTTCAGGTGTTCAACAAGGAATCACCAAAGCTATGCTTATGCTTGCTTGCTTTCTCTCTCTCTCTCTTTCTTTCTGAGAGATTTTTGCTAGAGGGTGTGTGTGTTCGCCAGAGAGACAAAAAGCGAGAAATCATCCCTCAGGGGAGATGGCCCTTCTCCTCCATTCTCCTCTGTGGATTTTGGGCATGCACACTTACGTGTCTAGAATGAGTTTTAAGCTGCCGGGTCTGGGACTTGAACTGTGGTCAACTATGTGAGAGTCCAGTGACATAACCATTATACCATCTGCTGGTCCCCTCAAGCTTTCTTTTAGGATAAACCATAAACTAATTCACTTGAACATTTTTCTTTGTGGCTATAAACAAACCCCATTTGGGCTGCTGGCTCCTGCTTGCATGGGCTGTCTTACTGGATAGCAACAGAGCCAAATGAGTACTGAAACTGGCTTCAGGATGCACTGGACTTCTCTGACCTCTCATGGCCAGGGGGAGTAACTGTAGGTTTGCTTTAAGGATCATAAGCAGGAACCAGATGTCCCTTGAACTGATGAGCTTCTCCCCAGAATGACTGTGACATTATTTAATCATGTCTTGAATTATTCTGTTTTATCTCAAGGGTTTAGGCCAGCAGTGGAGTTAACAGAACAACTCCATGGGACAGTGGCTGCCAAATGGGATGTGATGACATTTCAACACTGTAGGTCAGAGTGACCTTCCCCTATGGATGCGTGCAGAAGGGACCTGGCCTGAGGGCCTCCTCCTAGAGGCTTAATGGCAAAATCCCCAGACTGCATTTTTCCCTCCTTCCCAAGCTTGACCCCTCAAAAGGGAATGAGTGTGGAGTGAGAGTGCAAAGGTCTCATGCCCAGGCTGTTGTTTGATGCTGGCCACTTTCTGGGGCCCAATTATGTGTGCAGAGTGAGCAGCAAGAGTGGAACTAACACAAAAGCACCAGAGTGATGGGATCACCATAAGGAGACAGCAGAAGTCCTCGACATGAAGGGCACTGAGTGGTCGCCATGAGGACGCTTCTCAGTGACAGCCTGCATCAACCTGCGGCTCTGAACCCGGCCATAGCTATTGCTGGAGATCACACCAGCTTCTCCCTCCAACCCTAGAAGTCAAGCCCCAGAGGAGTCCCACCCAGAAGGGTCAACCCTTTGCCAAGTGACCAGTTGTTTGTGTTCCCTCCACCCACCCCCACACCTTTGGTTCTCCTACTCAGATCAAAGTAAGAAAGGCAGCTCTTTGTTGAAAAAATAAAGGGCAATCGGTCCCTCTGGCAGGCTTGTCTGCCAGGCCTCACATGGCAATGTGCAAACTCAGCAACTGGTCTGGTGCCCTGGGCTGTCAGCACTTCCAGCATGGAGGTGAAAAATGACACAAGGCAGTTTTACGTGAGTGAGCTAGTGAAACCGAGAGCAGTTCAGAGTGTCTCCATCCAGGGCAGGCAGGCAGGTTCTGAGCAAGAGTCAAGGGAGAGTGAAGCCCAACTCACTGTGAGGGGTGCCCCGACGCTCTCCACTTACAGAGCAGATGGCAACGCTCCCTGTTTTGATGGCCTGGAGACGAGGGGTCTCACCACCAAATCTGGTCAGCACAGAAAACTCAGGACCTCATCAGGGGAACCTCTGGCCAATCCAAACAGCTTATCAATTCAGCAGAATTACAGAGTATTAGAGACTGCAGGGAAGGATATGGGTGCATTCTGAAAAAATCGAAACACTAGGATATCAAGGTCAGAGAGTAACGGGCTTACGAGAGTGATCTGCAACCACCTTCCTGCACTGTGAGCCCCACAGTCCTCTCCTAACCTCTTAATTTACATTTTTAGAAGGAATCATTTGAATGGAAGCAGAGTTTCTCAGCCAATGTTCCTTGCCATTTCCTAAATCTATTTTCTCAGTCACCCTCCACATCCCTTTCTCCTTCTGAAGGTCACCGAGCTATGGAAATGCCAAGGGAGGGCACCCACAGTGAAAGGCTAAGCATGACAGGATGCTCTGACAGAGAAGAGGCCCCAATCACCAGCTCATTTATATTCTCTATAGCAGGAGGAATTATAAAACTTGGTTTAGTAAAAGAATAAATAAGTTATTTACACAGTTACATTCCTACTGAGAAAGGCAGGGAGGTAAAGGGAGGTCAAAGGAGCGGGAAGCAAAGTGAGAGGGCAGGAGGGACGGCAGAGGGAACAGGACTGTGCAGCCCCATCTCGGGCCCTGCTCCCGCCAGCTGCTGCTCCCAGGCCTACCCTGCGCCCACCTTGCTGCGCAGTCGGTCGTTCTCATCGCGGCAGATGGAGAACTGCCTCTTCCACTGCTCCACGCTGGCCGCCGACTCCTGCAGCGCTGTGGTCAGCCGGGCATTACTCTCCCGTAGTGTCTGCAGCTCAATCTCCCATTTCTTCACGTTGGCAGCGCTACAGAGACAAGAGGTGACTGAGACAGAGTGTGCTGTCCACCCTGCTGCACCTCTGCCTGCCTTCGAAAGGGGGACTCTACTGCCCTCTCAGACTGCTCTGGGGTTGGGGGGGGTTGGGGCTCACCCTCTCCCACCAGTGGATTGGCTGGTGGGTCTGGCTGCATGGACCAGGTGCCAAGAGGGATGGTGCCTCACTTTAGTGTGGACATGTTGCCCTTCCTGGGCTGTTTAACTGAAAGAATTGCCTTAGAAAAGAACAGAGTTCTTTCTTTCTTCTTTAAGAGTTTATTCGTTCATTTATTTATTTCAAGGTCTTTGCCACAGGGTGCATGCACTCGCTGGAGAGACAGTGAGAGGGAAAGTTAGAAATCATTCCCGGAGGTGGGCGTGACCACACCACAATCCTCTCCTCTCCTCTCTGGATTTTGAGCATGCACATACTTGCACCTCAAGCTGCCAGGTCTGGACTCGAACTGCAGTTGGCCATGTGGGAGACCAGTGTCTTAACCACCAAGTCACCTGCTGGTCCCATTTCTTTTATTTATTTTTTTAAAAACTTGATGGAGGCAGGGCCGGCAGGACCTAGTCTTCCCTCCCAATTTCCTGAAATCCTGCCCAGCAGGAAAGGCTCACAGGGAAGTGCTGAACGTGGAGAAAACAGGATCTGGATTTTAAGCCACTCTTACCTCTGTGTCAAAGCGATCTTCAGCTTGTCATTCTCGGACTTGAGGTGTGCGTCGGCTGGACCCGCATGAGATGCCTTTTCATCATCTGTCCCATTGACACTGGATGCCTGAGTAGAAGATGTGGTTTCATACCCAGATTCCTGGCCAAAGTGAATTATCTTCACACGTTATTGCTTGTCCTCATAACCACAGCGAATTAGGCATAATGAGAAACTCTGTTTATGAGTGTGGATGCGTCAACTCAAGTGTGTTCATTAGCAAAGAACACTAACAAGTAAAAAGGCTAACAAAGTCAATCAAGAACAAAGAAAGAGGCTGTGGGACCAGCAGATGGCATAAGGTTATGTGTCTACACTCCCACGTGGTCAACCACACTTTGAGTCCCAGACTTAGTGGCTTAAAACACATGCTGGGGGGACCAGCAGTGAGCATAATGGCTATGTCGCTGGACTCCCATGTAGTAGACCGCAGTTTGAGTCCCGGACCCAGTGACTTAAACTCACGCCGGGCATGTGTGCGTGTGTGCCCAAGATCCAGAGAGGAGAATGGAGGAGAAGGGATTGAGGCGTGGCCATGCCCCTGGGGGGTGATTTCTCACTTTCTGTCTCTGTCTCTGTCTGGCGAACGCACGCACACTATTAGCAAAAACCTCTCAAAACAAAACAGAAAACACACATGCTGGGTGTGTGTGTGTGTGCCCAAAATCCCGAGAGGAGATAGGTGGAGAAGGAATTGCAGTGTGGCCATCCCCTCATCCTTCTTGCTTTCTATCTCTCTGTCTCTTCTTTGTCTCTCTGGAGAGCACATTCTTCTTCTAACTTTAGAGATAAATGCCCCAGGCTCAGATAGTTGCTCTCCTTAGTACCACAGGACAGAAGTCACAGTAGAGGAGGTTTTTTTTAAATAAACAAGAAGGAATAGGAAATAGTGAATGAGGATAGAGAAAAAGTATCAGACACAGAGATAACTTAAAGGACCACTTAGGGAGAGTGCTGATTCTCAAAAAGATTCGGGAATTCAAGCAATTGGGTGATTTATTTTTTAAACAATTATTTAATTAAGTTTTCTTTGTTTTAATTTGACTAGAGAGGGACAGCGCAAGTGAGAAAGAAAGAGAGAGAGGAAAAGTGAGAAAGCAAAACTGCCAGGTCCGTGATTCAAACCGCAGTCAGACATGTGGGAGTCCAGTGCCTTTACCCAACACGCTACCTGCTGGCACCACAATTGGGTGATTTCTAATAAAAGTACAAAGAAAAGTTGTAATGATGTCTGCATCGGAAGGGTAAATGAAAACGAAAGCTTAGAGACAAAAGCCCACTTCTGCATAATAATTACACACACGTAAAGTGATACTGCATATACTTGTTTTTTTTTTTAAAGGTTTAAATAGTTTTTTTAGAGGGGGGAAATATTAAAGCAAAGCCTTATTTGGAGAAATTCAGATATTAAAGTTTATAGATACCATTATATATGCATTATTTAGAAAAAGGTGGTATATTAGAAACTTTCTAGACCTTGGGTCATTTCAGGTGCCCAATTTTATAGGTCTTCAGAGTAATTAGCATATGAAGTTAACAGTATTGTTTAGGTGATATTAAAGGTCACTGAGAAAGAGCCAGGCAAGTTCCTGTGCACCTGACGTACATCTGATCTCCATCCATCCATATGGGGCACAGTATTCATTTTACAGGCCTAGCACAAGGTGTTGGGAATATACTAATAACTCAAGACAGACAGGTTGTGCCTTTGGGAACGCCCTGAGTCACCAAACCTCCGCTCCTCAGGCTCAGCCACAGCAGC